CCGACGGCTATGACGGTCATAAATGAAATCAAAATGTAAAGAAAATTTTTCATTCAAGATCTTGTGACATTTTATAACCCATGATCTTGGGTACAACAAGTTTCCCTAGGGTATTGCTAATCGCACTAAACTCCCATGACTCATATGGCAATTGTGCCTATGAATTTGTCTTTTCTCTGGTTAAACGTTAGGATGACGATTAGTAAATGGATGGGTGACCGCCAATGAAGATAGAAGCATCGAATTATTTCGGTGATGTCTGACATATATATTCTCATCTGTGTTGAGAGAGAAGTTACAGAAAGGCAGTCTCAAGGACTGCGCGCGTAGTAGAGCCAGTTCAAGTTTCCAAGGCTTAAGTTTTTCTGCTTGCAACAAAAAAGCGGTTTTGAAACAAAATTTATTTAGTTCAGTTTAACATCACTTACGCATTATCAAATGTTCTCTTACCTAATGTAATAATGACGAGTATCCAAATACCGCAAAATGTGACTAAATCAGTTGTAAATATAATAACACAATATAGAAGCAAATTGCGAAGACGAAAATGTCCCATAAAGAGAGTAAACATATGCACAGCTAACACTGATATATCAAATAATGCCAAATAAGTAATAAATACACTCGATGATGTATTTTTCAACGGTTTTCTATTAATAACGATCAATGCTAATATATTCCCTAGTATACCACCGAGAGCAATAATTGAATTAATAATTAACATGTAATAGTTCACTCGAGATATATACGCCATCATTTCATATCGAAGAGCACAATTCACATGAGAGCCAGTAGGACATAATTCTGATGATGACGAATTGATCAGACTAGCATTTGATGACGGATGCATGTCACACGATCTAAGTAAGAATAGAAAACCTTCTAGAGGTGTCTATAAAAAAAGTATTTTTTCTTTCGTTATTAGCACGAATATTTCTTAGAAGGGCATTAAATATCAGATATAAGACTGATAAATTATTTAAAACTCCTATTCAACTCAACAAGCAACAGACATAACTGTTTTTGGAATAATTTTTGAACAAAAAATAATCAAGATCTGCAGTTTTCGGTATTTAAAAGAGCAGACTTAAGGGCATATTTTCATAATCCAAACGGTTTTCAAAATTTGTGTTTCAGGTGAGATTTTTTGTTTTGGCGAGAGTGTTGTCAATTTTCAATAGACATCTGTTATTCTTTTTCATGGATAAATAGCCCAAAGTGTCCTCTTCAAACAGGACATTCAGCACGCTCCTAATTTTTACCCATTCAGACGTAGTATTGAATTTTCTTACTAGCCCGGGACTGGAATTTAGTTAGTTGCAGTACTCTTGAAATTGTACGTAGCATATGTTATCCTATCATGCTGAATCTGTTGGCAATGTTTGGTTCTGAAAAACGATTCGAAAAATTTTCGAGCTCTACGAGAGTTACAGTTTCTATGGTGTTATCACCTTATATTATAAATTTGTAACTCATTTAAGATACATTGTAATGACTTGAAAACTTCATGATATAGTCGCTTTTATCCTCCAAAGGATTCTATACTTTAAAAGATTTTCTAAAAAACTTCGAT